TGTGGCCACATTGGCCTCCTGAGGGGGGGACGCTAATTGAAGCTCCCCACTTGTTTGATCGATCTCCTCCACGCTGGCCCCAAGAAGCGCCCAGGAGGCCCCAAGAGGTTCCAAGATGGCCCCGCGATGGCCCCAAGAGGCGCCCAATATGCCCCTAGGAGGCCCCCAACAAGACCCCAAGCGGCCCCAAGAGGCCCCCCCGAGGCACCCAAGACCCCGCAGAGCCCCCCAGGATCGCCAAGAGACCCCCAAGACGTCCCAAGAGGCCACCAAGAATCGCCCAAGAGATACCACAAGATGCTCCGAGAGGCATCCAAGGGACCTCTGGCCCTTGTGCTTGCCCTCCTCCTCCTTCTGTTCCTCCTTCCTCCGCCTACTCCTTCTCTTCCTCTTCCTCCTCCTCCGCCTCCTCCTCATCCTATTCATCCTCTTTCTTCCCACTCCCTCATCCATCCATCCACCTCTTCCTTCTATAACTCACTCCTTTGCACGGTTCGGCCGTCCCCCTCGTTGCTGCCGCACGTCCCTGATCACCTCAACTCGCCTGGACATCGTTTCTGGATGGGCTGGTGGGGACACGCGAAGCGTCTAAGTAGAATTTCCAGCAGCGCCAGTCCCTGGAGCCCACGCGGCGAGATAGCTGTCGTCTCATGATTCATGAATGCGCCGCCTCTTGAGTGGGATAGGGGGGATGGTAAAGGGGGGTCGCGAAACTTCTCTCGTAGTAGCTGGTTTCCCAAGCGCTTCCTGGCGCCATGGGCATCACAAGTATCCAAGAAAACGTCCAAGCTGCATGCAGTAGATGTCGTGCCCCCCCCTTCCCACTCCCCACTCCCACCATTTTGCCCGATCCGAGCCTCGCACCTAGAGACCTCCCAAGTGGGGTCCGAGTAGACGGGGTCGGAGAATCGCGCCACATCGTCAACACATCGCCAATGCATCGGCGGTGCATCGGCACCATCGGGGTGGAGAAAATTGGGCTCCACATGGGGCCGCATTGCCGATGCATCGGCGATGCAGCGCGATCTTCCGACACCATCTACAGTCGAGGTACTACCAGAAGGGACCCTAAATAAGGAACGAAGCCCCTATGTGGCCCTCACGGCGCCAAGGTGCACGAGGGCTAGAGGAACAACCGTGGAGGAGCTGAAGGAACAACGAGCCCCTTCTGAACTCAACATGGTCCTTTTCTCGGCCTCTTGGCTGTGAGGCCTGGAATGCCGTGCAAGAGAGAGAGCAGGAGAGCTTGGAATCGAACATATAAGTCGGATCGGCGATCGAAATGAATCGGATCGGTGGAAATCGGCAGCCCAGTCGGGATAAGTCGCATCGGCGGACATCGGCAGGCTAGTATGCCTCCAATGAATTGGGCCCGCCGCTTGTGCTACCAGAGCTGTCCCGCGCATTCCTCTTCCCGATAATCCCAACCATTTCCTGGAAAACATTTTCCCGCTAATCCCCCTGGTTCCCGCTAATTCCCCTGGTTCCCCTCTAACCGTTCCCGCTAATTCCCGCTAATTCCCTGTTCCCTAATTCCCGCTAATTCTTGCATGGTTGGCCTACAATATTGCAATGGTGCACGTAGTGCATGATATGAGCATAAGACGTACACACACTATGATGATATGGCGACGGTATGATGGCACGACACATCGAACGAGTCGAAAGAGCGAGACGCGGAGGAAGGATGCAGGTGAGGGGAAGACGACGAGAGGGGACGACGACCAGGAAGCGACGGAGGGAACAAGTGGGGAAAAGGAGCCGAACAATGAGGGGAGCAGCAGGAGGGGAGCAGCAAGAGGGGGAGGGAGAGGGGCAGCAGGAGGGTGAGGAGAGGAGGGAGGGCCGTCACCACGTCACCGAGAGGGAGGAGGAGGAGGAGGAGGAGGAGGAGGAGGAGGAGGAGGAGAAGGAGGAGGAGGAGGAGGAGGAGGAAGAGGAGGAGGAGGAGGAGGCTCTGGAAGGCTCTCGGCGAGGCGCAACTGCAAGAGAGCAACCCGAGCTCCCCAACCCCTCGCCCCGCATGATTTCCATTGCTGGGGATTACCGTCCAAGGGTTCGGGGATTACCCTCCAGAATGAACGGACCTCCCGGGCACCTCCCGGGGCCCCACCTCCCGGGGACCCTTCCCGATAATTTCCCGAGAATGAAACCCTGTAAAAACACAAGGACGAATTAGCGGGAAAACCCCCACCTCCCGGGGCCCCACCTCCCAGACGGTAATTCCCGTGCCCAGCCCTTGCGACAGGATGCTTGCTATCGCCCAGCGCGGGCAGGAGGCTTGCTATCGCTCGGACGTCCATTCCCCGTGCATGTGTCGGTTTCGCGCGTGTTTGGTTTGCTACGTGGTCCAGGATGCTCCTCGATGGTCCTCGCAGAGGAAAAAAACGCACACGCCCGAGCAATGCCAAGGATTGCAGTCCGACCAACTCAACAAATGAGAGGGACGAGGAGGAGGAGGAGGAGGAGGAGGAGCAGCAGCAGGAGGAGCAGGAGGAGCAGGAGGAGGAGCAGGAGGAGCAGGAGGAGGAGGAGCAGGACAAGGCTGGCTTGTCGCTTGTATGGTGTATACCATGATCGGAAATACAAGACTGCTACCAACGGCGGGGCAAGCCTCTTCCCCGCCGCTAATTTCCCTTTAATGTTTCCCGATACTTGTCTTTTAATTGTCTTTTAATTGTATCTTTTAATTGTCTTTTAATTGTATCACATTCCCTCTAGTTGCCTTGCATTCCCGATAATTGCAATTATCGGGAATGCAAGGCAACTAGAGGGAATGTGATACAATTAAAAGACAATTAAAAGACAAGTATCGGGAAACATTAAAGGGAAATTAGCGGCGGGGAAGAGGCTTGCCCCGCCGCTGGTAGCACAAGCGGCGGGCTCAACCAATGAGAAATCGGAGCCCAACTGGGGATCCCAAGTCGAATCGACTCGGAACGGAAGCCATCGAAAATCAATCGAATCGGAGGAATGGAAACGAGCCCTGAGAGAGAGAGCGAGAGAGAGAGAGAGAGAGCGAGCGAGAGAGAGAGAGAGAGAGAAAAACAAAAAAAGAGAGCGCGAGAGAGCTTGCCCACAGAAAGGGCCAAGCGGCGAAACGGACGGCCTCCCCAAGCGGCGCGGCAGTGGCAGCGGCGCGGAGGCGGCGCGCGCCCCGGCGGAGGCGGCCCCGAGCTGTTCCTCGCGGCGGCGACCGCCCCAACCCCCACGGAGTCGAGCAAGCACACAGCATACGGGTCCGCCTCTGTCCTCCCCTCCTCCTCCGATTCTCTGCCCCATGGAAGCCACGGCGTCGCTCCCAAGGACTTCCAATCCTTGTGCGGATCCTGATGCCGGTCCTCACAGACGTCCTCATACCGCCTCGAGGGCCTCAGGTGTAAAAACGCATCCGCGTCATGCAGCCACCGCGTCCCTGAAGCGCCATACACCTACACTCTGGGAGGGCGGATGGGGCGGACCGTGGGTCTGTGTAATTAGAATTAGTCACCCTGGATCGGTGCTAGACTGTCCCGGGGCTCGTGGAAGGCCCCCGGAGGCCGAAAATGGTCAAGCACCCTCCATCGTGATATCTTGAAGACGAAGATGACGTCGGCCGAAGACTGCATCAACACAAACTTCTGGCGCTCCGCGCGGATTTCTTGGATCCGCGCTGGAGCATCCTCCCTGGCGCGCGGAGAACGGCGGAGGCGCCGCTGGGGTGGCCTAGCGCGGATCCAAGCAATCCGCGCAGAGCGGCAAAAAGTTTCTGTTGATGCCGTTTTTCGTTTCCGACAAACGTTGCACTTGAAACGGGCCGTCCGTGAGCCCGCATCGCGCACCGGCGCCTCGCCGCTGTGCCACTGCGCAGCTCCAATGAACGGCGGGGACGTCTGGTCCCCCTCGCAGCTTGGTGATCGGGCGGTCTCTCGCGTGCTCCGTGGCTCGGCAGGGCCCCCCCCCTACAGCTTGCCTCTCGCCCTCCCATTATTCCTACCTCTCTCTGCCCTCAACTCCTCCTCCTACTCCTGATCCTCCTCCTCCTCCTCATCATCATCCCTCTACCGTCCGCTTCCTCAGTCCGTGTCCCTCCCTCCCACGTTCCTGCCTCAATCCCCTACTTCTCAACAACGGTTGCAGTTCTAGAAGGCCTCCCCTGGTCTGCCTATCCGTCTGCGACCTCGCGCCAGTACAGATCCTAACAAAGAAAGACTATGTAGGGCAAGCTAGCGGCGCGTGGGCGCAGCTACCCCGACGAGCCCCAGCTCGCGGAAGAAGCATGGCGCGGCACCCAAAAGCTGAGACCTGAAATAATCAAATCGAAGCTCGTGTCTTCCTCCACATCCTCATCGAATGCGTTTCGAATTGCGTCGCCCACTCGATCGTCCACTCGATCTGCAAAATATTCAACCAAGTGAGAGCTGCAACTTTTCTTCCCTGAGAGCCAGGAGCTGACCATGAGCTGAGAAGCAAGCGGCCTTCCTCGAGCAAGCGTGGCTGGCTGTGGCGGCGACACGCTGCATGGACTCACTCCCTGTGCGCGCGCGGGTGGTGCGCAGGCGAAGGCGGGCGCTTCAAGAAGCAAGGACCTGTTGGATGCTTGCTGTACATTATTCTCTCTTGGCACTTCGGGAAAATAAGCGCGATCCCGATCATGTGATACAGCCCAACGAAGGCAGCATGTATGGCCTGCGACATCGATTCCAATCCAAGGCAACGGAAGAACGTATATCAAGGCGAAAATCCCCCACCCGCAAAAATACTGCAAGCCCCCCAGCCCCACGGAGCCCCGCAGAACACCGGAGAACGCCCCGAACCAACCAACGGCGCCCAGAAATCTCAAACCTCGATCCTCGATCGTCGACGACGACGACGAGTATTGCATTTGTTTTGCAACTCGTCGTAGTTCCACCTTTCCGTGGCCGACGTGCGCGTTCCAGGGATGAAAAGGCGCTTCTTCAGTTCGTCCCCCCTCCAGCGCACGCACCACTCTTCCATACAGTAGCGTTGGGCGTCCGAGGAACGAACGGGTTAGTCAAGTCGCCAAACACTCTGCTGTAATCGGATGGAACATTCACAGTGAGGCCAGCTGGAGGGCCGGCGTGAGCCGGCATTGCGTGTCTTAGTTGCGTCCAGGCGCCTCTCGGCGTAAGACTCGTGCGTGCGTGAGTGAGGTGGTTCCGCCTCGTCCTCCGGATGCACCTCGACAACAGACAGACGCCACAGCGCGAGAGAACGCGACCAATCATCGGAGGGGGGGGGCAGCGCGTGCCCCCCCTGGGCCGAGCTGCCACCTCCTCTTCCTCCTCCTGCTCCTTCCTCCTCCACCTCCTCCACCTCCTCCTCCTCCTCCTCCTCCCCCTCCCCCTCCTCCTCCTCCTCCTCCTCCTCCTCCTCCTCCTCCTCCGCCTTCTCCTCCTCCTTCCTCTTCTGACTACCTACCAGACCACCCCAACCCAACCCGAAGACCCGAATTTCGGGTTGGGGTGGGTAAGGGTTCCACATGTGTTTTGCTCGATGTTTCCCGACCGCCCCCCACTGGAAATCGAAGGTAAATCTGAGCCTTCGGGTTGGGTTGGGGTTGTTTGGTGGGTGGTGATCTTCAGTCTCATCCCTTCCCTGCTACATCTACCCAACAATCTCTCGCCGCGGAGGATACAACGACCAAGCATGTTTGCATCGACGCCGGAACGCCAGCATAGCTAGGAGACGAGAAGGAGGAGCGGCGGACAAACAAATGTCACGGTGCGGGGAACCCGAAGAGGTCGCGTGATACGGCATCTTCTTCGCCCTCCTCCCTCCTACCCTTGCTCTCCGACGAAAAGGCAGGCCTTGCACCATGCCCTCCCAGACGAGCTAGCAGATGTGCCCCATGCAGGCTCACCGGCAGAGAAATCCCCGAGAGGAGAATTCCCAATCGGCCTCCATGTGACTGCAAGCTGTCGTACTGCCGATTCGAAAAGGCTGGTTGACCCTGGATCGCTTTCGCGCTGAATGCGACTGTGTGCTTCTGAACTCGGCCTCTCCGCTCGCTTGCACTCGTCTCTCTTCGCTGCGAATCCTCTCCTCGTTGCTTCTCCTTGCTTTCCTCTGTTCGGCCCTCCTCGAGGGTCACTCTCTACACTCCGCTGGTGCGCGAGTCGCACTCTCAGGACCCCGTGGTCGACCCGATCGGTCGAGCATCACTTCCGCGCGTGACGGAAGCGGTGTGCGCCAGACCATGTCCGCGCCCAGGAGGAAGCCATGCGGAGTGGCTACAGGCTACAGCCGAAATCACCCAGGCTTCCTCGCCCTCCGTGGCCTTGCATACAGCCTCGCCACAAACAGTCCATGCTTCCCCGGGCCCCATTCGCCCCTCCGCACAGCCACGCCACAAACAGTCCAACTTTAAGGCCCGCCTCGTCCTCGTCCTCCTCATAGTTACGCGTCCCCCCCCCTCGCAACTGAGAGCCGATCTCAATGGACCTCGCACACAGTCAGGCCGGGGAGGGGGGGGGATGCGTGAACGCAAATTTGGGGGGGTGGAAGAGGAGGAGAAGGAGGAGGAGGAGGAGGAGGCGGAGGCGGAGGCGGAGGCGGAGGCGGAGGAGGCGCCGCCAGGAAGGCAGGCGAGGAGCCACCGGCGCCGCACTGAGCTGCCTCTGGCGGCTCACCAAGATGAAGGGGGTGGGAAGCGAAGCGGATGCACTGCCTGGGCTCGGAGGCGCGGCATGAGGCGCCGGAGAGGAGGCGCGCGCCTGAACTGGAACTTGATCGTCGGTATCTGGACGTCGACACCGTCGTCGGGGTCTGACGCGGACACCTGGCGCGGAGGACAGGGATGCGGGCGAAAGGCCACAGGAGCACTCCTTGGGGAGACAGAGGACGCCCTGGGCCAGGGAACCGCGGAACAAAGCGGATGTTCTGCTCGATTGGGAGTCTGCGGCGTGCCCAGAAGCACTCCGCGCCAGAGGGCTGTCACGCAGAGACAAAAACACACACCCTGCTTCTGGATCGACGGCACCTCTTCCACACCACCGCTGGGGTCTGAAGGGGCACCCGGTGCGGGGCAACGGCATCCCAGGGTCGCCACTGCCTGGAACGCGCCGCGCGACTGGGCCGGATGGGTCGCACTCGTGGGCCCCAAGCGCCAGAGGCGCACTACGCCAGATCACCTGAGGCGACGTGCTCCGGGGTCAGGCGCCTGCTATGCAAGGTCGAGCTACTGCCATGAGGAGCGCGACGAAAGGAACGAAGCTCTGGATTGGCCCCAGAAACGCCTGGGTGAATGACGAGCGCCAGAGGACCATCCGTGGAAGGACCTGAAGAACGCCGATGCCCTTTCCGAGCCCGAACTGTTCCTGACCTTGGCGTCTTGGCTACACTGGCCAAAGCGGCTCTGCCGTCTGAATCCCATGCGTTGAGGCCTCCTAGATGGGGTCCGAAAAGACGGGGTCGCAAGATCGCGCCGCATCAGCGACGACCGGCGTTGAGAAAATCGGGCTCCACATCGAGCCGCACTGTCGATGCAGCGGCGATGCGGCGCGATCCTCCGACCCACAGTCGGGCTGCTGCAACAGGGAACGAAACGACGCCCCTTTCCGACAACAAAATCGCCTGGGTGCACGAAGAAGGCGAGAAGAACAACCACGGAAAGACTCAAGGAACAGTGAGACCCTTCCGAGCCCAACGCGGCGCCTACCAGAGGACGAAGAAACGACATAGTCATAAACTTTTGACGGTCTGCACGGACCGTCGAACAAAATTGATATGCTTGCGCCGTTTTTTCTGTTTCGGCTTATTTCGGTGCCTTTGGCTGCACTCGGACCCGATCCGTGAGGCCCAGCCTTCAAGGCTGGGAGGTCACATACGAACCCTACCCCATCACCCCACGATTTCTAAGGGGGGAGGTGGGGTTCACGTAGATTTCTCGGCGCGCGCGTCGCCCCTGGGAGGGTGGGGGGTGGGGGTGTGGGGGGGGGGGGGGCGACGCACACCTAGTATCAGTATGTTGGGCTGACGCCGACTCGACGCGGATGCGGCGTGGATTTAGCAAGGATTCGAAGAGGCCAAAATGACATCGGCATGGATCCGAGGGGGATGGGGGCGCAACGAGGCACCACGTGCGGCGAACGCCTCCGCATCCGCACCCTCGCGGTCTGGATCCCGGGCCGCGACCCCGCGGAGACGCTCCGCACGGGGCGACCGCGACAGAAGAACGCCTCGTGCCCGCGGGGTCGTGGCCCAGGGGCCCGAACCGGCGATCGGCGGATACGGAGATGTTGATCACCCACGAAAGCTGGCCGGTCGAGGCACGCCTCTACGACGTCCTGGACCTGCCACGCTCGGGCTGAACCAGCCAAACTCGCGTCACGGGCGCGGCTGCAGAGAGAAGGTGGCGGCACGAAGGACTCGGGCGTGGAGCTCAGCGGGAGCAGGGGCGGGATCCTGCCGTCGCTCGGACGTCCATTTCCCGTGCATGTTTCGGTTTCGTGCGTGTGTTGCTTTGCTCGATGGTCCAGGATGGTCCTCGATGGTTCTCGCCGAGAAGAAATGCACACGTCCGAGGGATGCCAAGGGATGGGGCGCAGCAGGAGGAGGGACGGGACCTCGACGTCCGGCGATGAGCTTCCTTCAATGGCGCGGCCCCAGCGGCCCCAGAGGCCGAGATCGAGGAGTGACGCCTAGAGGAGGGGGAGGAGGAGGAGGAGGAGAATGAGAATGAGAATGTCTGTTCACTAAGTGAGGAAAATGGAGCCTAGACCGAGGGAGGGAGATCGCGCCTGGGATCAGACCGTCTAGCCTTCTCGGCTTTACTTAGCACTTTGGGCCACTGACCTTGGCGGATCAACTTCAAATAACCCTCTCCAGTCGGTGTGGCTCGGGAACATTCTTTGCGGAGGTTACGGTTCTGCTGACTGGCGAAGAACCCACACCTCCCGAAAACCAAAGACCCAACTTCGTGCTAAGATTCATGGCATGTGTATCGTGCACCCAGTCTCCAGCCACGTGCAACCTATGTCCATCAGGGACTGTATGAAAATCCCCATTCAGGTTGGGGGGCTGAAAACACGAGCTGCCTTTCCAGACCTCCAGGCGCCCCAGGGAGGCCGAGCCCATACAGCGCTTGCACTTCCGACCACTGTCGTCCAACACGTGGCAGGTCGAGAAAAAAGAGACCGCACTCGGAACGGGCACGGGAGCTGCAGCAGGAGGAGGAGGAGGAGGAGGTGACCCGCCTTCCTTCCTCCTCTCCAAGTCCTGAAGCTCGCTGGCCATGGAGTCTGCGGCCGCGCGCAGGAGCCTGTGCCTCACCAGGAAGGCCTGTCGCTCGATGTCCAGCACGTGATGACGTATGGCAGGGGGCAGCCGTACTTCTGCTGCCATATCACCAACCAATTCGTCTATAGTAGAATTGCCTATCACTTTCCATCGCACAGCCCGTCCATCGACGGTATCACTCCCAGACAAGTGCGAGTTGACGAACTCCACGGAAACATCATTCACGTCACGTGTTCTCATCAGAATCTGAATATGAGCCCACAAGTCTGCATCAGCACCCCGAGGATCCGAGTACTTGCATTGAGCCCAACCCTTGGATACATTCTCACAATCTGTGATATAATGAATGGGGCCTGCACTGGCCCAGATGGCGAGCCACAAAGACCTCAACTCTCCTCTGGCCACAGACTGCTTCAAGCCTGGCAGACCGCCGACGATGTGGGCGCCCACAACTGGCGGATCATAGCTTGACATCACAACCACACCCATGGCCACCCTGCGCAGCCGTGGATCAACTGTATCAGGGCCTCCACTTGCATCTCCGAAAATAATTGTGGGACGCTCTGCCGTGCCTCGAGGAAGACAGCCAGGCCCGACACCGACGATCCCACTGTACTGCCAGTCATCAGTCAACTGCGGGTCAGGGGTTCGCGTCCAAGGTGCTGGGATCAAGCCTCTGAGCCAGAAACATGCAGCCGCCTCGTGCTGGGATTGAGCAGAAGGGTATAGCGTGTCACTAGCTTCGTAGATCGGCGAATCCTTGTTACAAATGCAAGCCCAAGACCGATGAAACGACGTCTCCACCTCACCCCTACAACGAAGACGTGTCATGAAATCCTGCAGCTCCGACTCGCTCTTGCCACGATGCTCGGAAAGAGTTCCCTTGCGACTCCGAGGCCATGCGCCTCCGACGGCAATGGAGAGTAGAAGACCTGCAAGCCTCGCTCCTCCCGCTTGAATAGTGCCCAATTGTTCCAGTAGACGTCCCAAGGACCATGTATCGATACCATCTTGGATGCCTTCTCCGTCGAAATGCTGAGCCGCCTGTGACCAGTGAGGTGACATAGCAGCTACACGTACATCAGCCAAGAAGTCATCAAAATTGTCCAATGCTTTCACACCTGAAAATCCGTCGGCTGGGAAGCGCCAATCATGATCCGACGCAGGTAGGACCCAATCAGTAGGACCGCGTGGCACCCAACCAAAGGATAACATATATGTGACAATCGCAGACAGTGGTCCACGCACATGCCGTGAACGCTGAGTTGCTGGTACGCCTTGTAGCGTATCAACGACCTTGGCCCATGCACGCTCCACAGATGATCTGATCTCAGGATGATCCCGCCACTGCTGGAGGAGGAGGAGAGGGAAGAGAGGGAAGAGAGGGAGGCGAGTGCATCGGCTCGGCCACCTCACTCTGCGCAGCGCGCCCAACGCGGTGCGCCGACAGATGTCCTGCGCGTGCGCGTGCCGCCCGCCCCCGATGTGCGGAAGGGCAGCTCTGCCTGGGCCGAACGGAGCGGGAGGCGCGATTGCCTGCGCGCCCCTGCGGGTCAGCTGGGCGAGCTGGAATGTAGTGTGTGTGTGTGTGTGGTGTGTGTTTGGTGTGTGTATGTATGTGTGTGTGTGTGTGTTTGTGTGTGTGGTGTGCGTGTGCGTGTGCGTGTGCGTGTGCGTGTGCGCGTGTGTGTGTGTGTGTGTGTGTGTGTGGTGTGTGGTGTGTGGTGTGTGGTGTGTGGTGTGTGGTGTGTGGTGTGTGGTGTGTGGTGTGTGCGTGTGCGTGTGCGTGTGCGTGTGCGTGTGCGTGTGCGTGTGCGTGTGCGTGTGCGTGTGCGTGTGCGTGTGCGTGTGCGTGTGCGTGTGCGTGTGCGTGTGCGTGTGCGTGTGCGTGTGCGTGTGCGTGTGCGTGTGTGTGTGTGTGTGTGTCTGTGTGGTTTTTCGTTGGGGGGGGAGGGCAACGACAGCATGTATGAAGGACGCGCCGCAGTGGGGAACCCAGCAGCGTGCGCCCTGGGAAGAAGCGCCAGGTCTTCGGACAAAGACGCAAGGACACCAGGCGAAGAGGGGTCCCAACGGCGGCGCGCGATGCTCTTCTTCCCCCCCGGGCAGCAGTGGAGAGGGGGAACACGACGATCACGGATCGCCAAGGAATAAACACGGTGAGGGGGTCCAACGGCGGCGCGTGATGCTCTTTTCCCCTCCCTGGTAATTAGGGAGCGAGAAGATCACGGATCGCGAAGGAATAGCACGCTGAAAGGGGTCCCAACGGCGGCGCGTGATGCTACTCTTCCCCCTCTGGTAACAGGTGGAGACGGGGAGCAGGACGATCTCGGATCGCCAAGGAACAACACGCTCAGGGGGTCCCAACGGCGGCGCGTGATGTGCTCCTCTTCCGTCAGGGATACCAGGTGGAGCGGGGGAGCAGCAGGATCACGCATCGGCAGAGGCGACCCGACGCTCCGAGCGGGGCGCGGGGCGCGGCGCAGACGGCGCGCCGTGGCGCACGATGGGCGGGCCTGCCCCGCTGAAATTCTCCATGGTGTGGGCGATTTAAGGGGCACTCGCCGTGCGCACCAGGCAAAGGACTCGAGCAGGTCGGGGGAAGACGAGATCCGGGCCAGGAGGAGCACGAGGCCGGGGACAGAGGAGGAGGAGGAGGAGGAGGAGGAGGAGGAGGAGGAACGGCGGAGCAGAAGGCGGGCCAGCGAGGCCCCAGCCCCTGACATCAGAAGACTTGAGCGTTCCCTGGATGCCTTGCGTCTGCTCTGTGACTGCTTGATCCTGGTGCAGGCGATGATGCAAACTACGGGGCGTGAACACGACCACAGCCACTGCTTTTCTTTTGTTGCCGCCTTCCAGCCCGCAGAAACAAAGCAGTGGTTGTGGTCATTTTAGTTGAGCTTGGCACCAAAGAAATGACCACAACCACTGCTTCTCTTTCGGCCGGCTGGAAGGCGGCGCAAACGAGAAGCAGTGGCTGTGGTCATTTTCCCGTCCCGCACAAACGGGTCAGAGCCTGCACTCGCAGCATTCGTCCATGCTCATGGTCGCATCGATCGTTACGCACACGCTTGCACGTGTGCGCGAGCCGTTCGCCAACAGTTGTGTGAGTGCCCGACTTGCAACCCAGCAGCAAAGTCAAGATCGTCGCCTCGATGTTTAAGAACCGCCTCTTCGGCGACATTTTCTGCTTCGTCACGGTCTCCCATAGAGTACTCACCTGTTGACGTGTGGGATCAGTCCATCAACAGTTTCGAGCTGGTGGCCCATCATCCGATCAGAATACTCACAACTGGTTCGTACATTTACGGTACAGCGCAACTGCGCCGATGAGGCCTCAGCAGCTGGGCAACTTATGTGTCACCAACGCCCGAAAATAATTCGCATCAATGCAACGAATGAAGCAAGACAAATAAGTGAAGAATTGTAAACTTGCGAACCGCGATTCAGCCACAAAACTGCATACACACGCGCACCCGCCAACAAGGTGTCCCTACATCTTCAGGGAGAGTGACGGTGTATAACATCGCTGGCCTTCAATGGTGATTGTTACACCGCCAACCTCCTCTGCGGCCCATGAACTATCCACTGGTGTGTATGTGCGTGTATAGGTATATACATACATATATCCGCCAGCCCCCTCCGGGGGCGCAAGGCTGCGAAGGTGTACGCGGTCTGCTGTCATGTGTTATGCGTTGTCATTGGTTGTTTGGCTTTTTGTCTCTCAAGTCCTGTTTACTGCCTCCTGATTACAGTCTGCTAAGCGGTCCCGCCGCGCCACCAAACAGCCAACGGGGGGGGGGAACCTCAAATCATGGCTGCTCCGGGCCACCCCCAGATTCTCATGGTGATGTCACCGCGCGGCCAGAACGGCCCAGAGGCCTCCAAGATTGCCAGAAGAGGCTCCGAAGAGAGCCTCAGGAGCCCAAGACGGCCCGAGATGGCCCCAAGATGTCCCACGATGGCTCCAAGACGGCCCAAGATGCTGCCAAGACGGCCCAAAAGGCCTCCAAGAGGCCTCCCAAGAGGGTCCCACAAAACAAATATCATTGATGTTCCTAACGTTTTTGGCCGTCTCGCCTTTTCGGCTTTCCGACGCTCCGAGACGGACCAAGAGGTTCCCAAGATCGCCCCACGAGGGCCCTAGAAGCTCCCATGATGGCCCAAGAGGCAACCAAGACGGCCGAAGAGGGCCCCAAGACTGTCCAAGAGGCGCCCAAAACGGCCCAAAAGGGCCCTTATGCGGTCCACAGAGAGGCCCAAGAGGGAGTCCACGACCCGAAAACTCTACCTTTCTGCCCCGAGAGGGCCCCAGGAGGGGGGTGGCGTTTTGTTTCGCCTGCGTTTCTTCGCTCGCGTTCGTTTGGCTCGCTTGTTGTTTCGCTCGCTGCTCGATTTCGTTTCGCTCGCTGTTTTTGTCGCTCGGTGTTTTTTCGCTCGGTTTCGTTTCGCTCGGTCTCGTCTCGCGTGGTTTTCGCTCCGCTTGCGCTGGTGCAACCGAGCGAAATTAAACCGAGCGAATTTAAACCCGAGCGAATTTAAACCGAGCAAATTCAAACCCAAACGAATTGAAACCCGAGCGAGTTCAAACCGAGCGAATTGAAACCGAGCGATTTGAAACCGAGCGAATTGAAACCGAGCGAATCTAAACCGAGCGAATTTAAACCGAGCGAGTTTAAATCGAGTGAGTTTAAAAAGAGCAAATTTAAATTCGAGCGAGTTTCACTCCGAACGAACTAAAACTCGGTCAAACTGAAATTCCGTGTGGTAGGTTTGTTGGAAGAAGTTTGGAAGGTCAAAGTTTGGAAGGTCTGTTTGAAGGTTCTTGGAAGTTGTGCTTGTTTGTGTGTCAAGGTTTTTGGAGGGTGTGTGTGAGGTGTTTGAAAGGATTGTTAAAGGTTTATGAAAGGTTTGGGGAAGGTATTTGGACGGTGTTTGTTCTGCAAGGTGCATGGAAGGTGTTTGCAAGGTGTTTGGAATGTGTTGGGTGACACGTTTTTGAAATGTCTTTGGAAAGAAGTTGCACTGTGTTTGAAAGGTTTTTGGAAGGCTGTCGGTAGATTTTCGGTAGGGTTTGTTGAAAGGTTTTGTGGAAGGTGCTTGGAAGGTTTCTCTCGAGACTTCCTCAAGACCTGGGCACGTGAAATCAAGGATATCACCTGAGACATCCTCTGAATCCTGGTCCCCAGGAGAAGAACAATCTATAACACCAAACAAGCGTTTCGCTCGCGACATCCTCAACAATTTCTGCAAAACAAGCGCTTCTCTCGAGACAACCGTAACAGACGAAAATGTTTAGTTTACCATGTGCTTGATTCACCGGGATTTCAAACACCAACGTTTCGCTCGGGAAATCCTCAAACATTCCGCCGGCCATTCCCGACCTAAGTACTTACCCGGGAGTAATTCCGCCAACCCTTCCCAAACATGGCACCAAAGATAAACTTACCAACTAAAAAACCCTGGGCCGCCGCCCTTTCTGGGAACATGGTCGACCCACGAACCCGGAAAATCATCCAGAAACGTAACACCTGATTCGGCGACGGGCAAATGCAATGCTGAACGTATCGCTCTTGATTTACCGCGCTGAGGGCTGTGCTGCGCTGCGCCGCTGCGCCATGCTGCATTGCGATGTGCCATGCCGCGATTGTGCTCTATAGAAGTGTGGATCGAGTCCTCCTTTGCATCCGAGTCCTGACCGAACTGATCTTGATCTCAAGCTCGAGCTGCCTGAGCACGTAGTAGCTACCCCAGAGCTAAATGACAGGGGACATGCCAAGAGGACGCGTCGCGGAACGTCCCAAGGGACGCACCGCGGGAAGTGCCAAGGGGACGCGCTACTGAACGTACCACTGGACGTGCCACGGGACGTGCCAAGGGACGCGGGACGCGCCGCGCGACGTGCCATCGGGACTCGCCACGGGACGCGCCACGGAACGTGCCGGGGAACGTGCCAAATTGCAATGCTGAATGTAGCGATCTTGATGTACCGTGCCAAAGGCTGTGCTGCGCTGCGCCGTGCCGGATTGCGATGCGCCATGCCGCGATTGTGCTCTATAGCGTTGTAGATCGAGTCCTCCTTTGCATCCGAGTCCTGACCGAACTGATCTTGATCTTAAGCTCGAGCTGCCTGAGCACATAGTAGCTGCCACAGGGCTAATTGACAGGGGGACATGCCAGGGGGACGCGCCGCGGAACGTCCCAAAGGACGCGCCAGGGGACGTGCCAGGGGACGTGCCATGGGGACGCACCGCGGGACGTGCCAAAAGGATGCGCTACTGAACGTGCCAATGGACGTGCCACGGGGTGTGCCAAGGGACGCGCCGCGCGACGTGCCAGGGGAACTCGCCACGGGACGCGCCACGGAACGTGCCAGGGAACGTGCCAGGCGACGCACCAAGGAATGAGCCAAGGAACGCGTCAAGCAACGTGCCACGGGACGTCCCTGACCCAGGGCCAAGATCCACCGTAAATTACGCTGCGTCCGTGCTCCCAAAGCCACGATCCCACGTGCAGTACATTGCGTCCGCTCTCCCTGGGCCACGATCCATCGTAAACTACGCTGCGTCCACGCTCCCTGGGCCCCGATCCATCGTAAACTACGTCCGCGCTCCCAGGGCCACGTTCCATAATAAATTGCACTGCCTCCTCCCCCCCAGGGCAATAATCCCTTGTAAATTACGCTGCGTCCGCGCTTCCAGGGCCACGATCCCTGGTAGATTACACTGCGTCCGCGCTTCCAGGGCCACGATCCATTGTAGATTATGCTGCGTCCGCGCTCTCAGGGCCACGTTCCCTAATAAATTATGCTGCCTCCACCCCCCCCAAGGCAACAATCGCTTGTAAATGACGCTGCGGCCGCGCTTCCAGGGCCACGATCCTTAGTAAATTACGCGGCGTCCGCGCTCCCAAGGCCACGATCCACCATTAATTACGCTGCGTCCGCGCTCTCTGTGCCACGAACCATCGTAAACTACGCTGCGTCCGCCCCCCCAGGGCCGCGCTCCCTCGTGAATTACGCTGTGTCCGCGCTCCCAAGGCCACGTCCCCTAGTAAATTACACGGTGCCCGCCCCCCCAGGGCCACAGTCCATGATAGATTAGCTGCGTCCGCGCTCCCAAAACCGCGATCTGTTGTAAATTACACTGCGCCCGCGCTCCCAAGGCAGCGATCGACAATAAATCATGCTGCGCCCGCGCTCCCAAGGCCGCGCTCCCTCGTGCATTACACTGTGTCCGCGCTCCCTAGGCAACGTTCCCGAAGAAATTACACGGTGCCCGCGCTCCCAGGGCCACGATCCACCGTAACTTACGCTGCGTCCGCGCTCCAAAGACCAAGATCTAATCTAAATGATGATGCGTCCGCGCTCCCAGGGCCACGATCCAAGTATGCTGCGTCCGCGCTCCCAAGGCCACGATGCGCTCCCTCGTGAAGGACGCTGCGTCCGCCCTCCCAGGGCTACGATCCTCCGCAAATTACTGTATGTCCGGACTCACAGAACCGCCTGGGCATCCTGGGGCGCCCAGGCCGCTTGAGTTCAGCAAAACAAGCGTTTCGCTCGAGACATCCTCGAAGCGTCTCGCTCGAGACATCCTCAAGACCTTGGCTCGTGAAAACAAGCATTTCACCTGAGACACCCTCTGAATTTTAGTCCCCAGTAGAGGAACGATCTATAACACAAAACAAACGTTTCGCCCGAGGCATCCTAAACACATTATGCAAAACAAGCGTTTCTCTAGGGACATCATCAAACATGACGGACACAAAAAACCCGGAAAGAACTATAGAAACGAAAGGCATGGTAACGTTTTCAAGACACTTGATTGGGCGGCGGGCGATTGCAATGCTGCGTGTATCGAACTTGACGTACAGTGCCAAGGACTGTGCCGTGCTGCATTGCGGTGTGCCATGCATCGATTGGTCCATAGCATTGTGAATCGAGTCCCCCTTTTTTGCATCCGAGTCCTGACCGAACTGATCTTGATCTGAAGCTCGAGCTGCCTGAGCACATAGTAGCTGCCCCAGAGCGAATTGACAGGGGGTACATGCCAGGGGAACGCGCCGCGGAACGTCCCAAGGGACGCGCCAGGGGACGTGCCAGGGGACATGCCATGGGGACGCACCGCGGGACGTGCCATCGGGACTCGCCACGGGACTTGCCAATAGACATACCACGGGACGTCCCAGGGGACGCGCCGGAACTGCGATGTGCCATGCCAC